GTAGGTACCTGGGAGGTTAGGGAAAAGTGGTGGGGGCCCCGCCAGCTCTAAGTCAGGCCCAAAAGACTCGAAGGGTACCTCTGGAGGAGGTCGTTGTCCGGTCCAACACGCTTGAGCCTGTCATTTCGCAGGTCCACGGCTGCTTTGTTGCTACTACTACTGATGCAATTAGGTTGGCCTCTCAAGTGCTTGCTTCGAGTTGAAAAGCACAAGACCATGAGAGATCTGAAACTCCGACACGGCGCATAAACAGATGCCACTTGTACCGAGCACCAGAAAATCTGCGATGGCATTCCAATCACACGGTGCCAGTTCCAAGTCGTCTCTGTGGTTCCCAAAGAGGCAAGACATCAGGCTCGGGTGCTCACGGTGCGGCCCTGCACACCAGCAGTCGCAACTCCGTGGCAGGATTGCGCTATGAATATTGACCCAAGACCCCAAAGTAGGTTCTATCTGAAACTTAAAGGCTGAAGGTTACATCATCACCAGCTGAGGCAATCATGGCAGCGCCACGCCGATCGAAAGATCGCCTGGCGGCACGGCTCTACCTTGCACTTGATTGACCTGCATACGAAACCCTCTGTAACCCTTCCGAAGCGACCATTACATAATTAAGCAGTATATATACTTAACCCCTGAGTTCCACTCTTGAAACACGGAAAAATCCAAAGCCACATCAGCCTGGGCTACCCGCGCCGCTGGGCATCAGGCCCGGGATCAAATTTCACAGACCCAGCGGAACCTGTAGGCCCTAGTCGAAATGCCTACGATTTCTGAATCACTCCACAGGGTGCTTTAGGGCTTATGGATTTTTTGGGATGTGGGGTTTTAGGGCTCCAAAGGCGTCCAGCTGCAGCTTCCAAGGTGCAAAGATGCCTCTAACTCCAGGCCAGCCGTACACACCCAGTTAATAGGGTTTAGGGTTGCATGAGCAAACCACTGACCACCGTTTACCCTAAGAGGTCACCATTAAACCACTAAAAACCCTTCAAGCCTCGAACCCCGACTCTAAACCCCTAGACCCTGCAAGCCGTAAAAAACACAAATGCCCTAGAGCCCAAAGGCGATGAACTAGGCCCTCAACAACCGAAAGCGTACACACCCTCTGAATACCCTTTAACCAACACCAGAAAACGAGAACAAGCCCTAGACACAAACCTTGCACTGCCCTGCACCCGAAATCTTGATCCCCCCCTATGACAGCATCTTGGAAACCCTCAATCCTAAACCCTAAACCCCTAAACTCCCAAACCCCCAAACCCCCAAACCCCCAAACCCCCAAACCCCTAAACCCCTAAACCCTAAAGCCCTAGGCTCTGCTGTTGCTTTGTTGCACTGCTTT